TCTTCCTTCTAGCAAAACTACACCAAAAGTGATGTATTAACCTCTTCTTGCTCTCAACTCTCCTACTGCTCTTTCTAGGGTTTCTCTGGAATGAAGTGGCCGCAAATGGAGGCCATAAAGGCCTTTAAATAGGGCACAGACCCGAGGATTTAGGGTTTCACTTAACAGCGCGGACTCGCCGAGTCCACGCATCGACTCGTCGAGTCCTTCATTAAATCAAACAAGGAATGCACGATCCTACTCGGCGAGTCTGAGCGCCTACTCGCCGAGTCCCTCCCTAAAACTCAAGATATATACTTAAAATAAGATACCTGGGAATCTGGATATTACAGCAACTCTTCAGTATATGAAGTGTTTGCAATCAGAAAACAATGTCTGTGTAGACAGAATATTGTTAGTAGATGCCTCTGAAGGTCCAGCAAAGGCATAGGTGTTTCACATTCTCTCTTTTCCATTTATTCACTCTTTATTATTATCATTATTATATGATTTTTGGTTTGAATGTTTCCAGAAAGTAACAGAATGCATTAAGCAATATACACAACTTTCACGAAGAACATCTCATGAATTAGAATCTGCATTGAGAGTTATTGATGAAGCTCTGCATATTAGCAATTTTTCAGTGCAGTTACTTCAAATGAAAGCAGATATCTTAATCATGGTTTGTATTACAAAGTAATCTAAGTTTACAATTTTTTGTACTTGATTCTTGATAACTTATATGATTCAACACTCTTTTGTTTGCTTTTCAGTTACAGATGTATGAACATGTTATTCAGATGTATGAGCAGAATCCTAACAAAAAAAAAACTGTTTGCAAATTTCTTCAAACATAACAGTTTTATGGAATAGTTTCAACATAATTAGTAATTGTGGTATACTAATTCATTGTCAAATGTAAATAACGTAAACAGTAAAACTGTATAGTTGTTAAATAGGAAGATTTAAGTACATAAACATCAAAACTATGAAAAATATATTCAGCTATCGAATTTTTACAAATGAATGAATTCAGATTGCTAACCTTGTGTAGTTGTTCTTGTCCTGGAGGATGAATATGCAGCAAACGATCAGAAAATCAAGGATTGAATAACTTGTGTTACCAACTATGTTATCAACTGAAGAAGCATACCGTTTGTTAAGCTTTCTCTGAAGCCGAATGGTGAAGCCTACCGTTTGTTAAGCTTTATCCGAAGCAGAATGGTGAAGAAAATAGAAGCGTAAAGAATGGAAAGTGGTATATATTTCGGTATGCATTTATTTGGTGCTGATTTTTTGGGATTTATTGACTGGATATTAATTAGCTTCCATTATAATAAACAATCTTCCATATTTTTTTGGATTGGATATGAACGAATTTGAAATTTGAAATTATTATTTCTGCATATTATTTTCAATTATTATTTGCAAATCTTTCATCTATATTTCCATTTTTTGAATGTATTGGATTTGATTTGATATGTGCTGAATATTGGGGGAGAATCGTAATTGTAGATGAAGAAAAGAAGCGGGAAAACACGATTTAGGGGGGCTGGGAGATTGACACGTGACCATATTCTACTTATTTATTAGGATAGGGGATTCCATGTTTTTTGAAATATATACTATATGTATTTCAAATAGCCAAGAAAACCTTATTATCACTTAAAATAACTGTTTCAAAAATAAAAAATTAAATTAAATTAAATACCATGAAATATTGGAATAGAACTGTAAACATAAAAATACTTTTAGTTACTAACATATATGGAAAGAACTGAAATCCCAAAATATAGCAACATACTCTCAGATTCCAGTGTGGACAAATCGGTACATATGCATTTAGATTATTAAAGGTGTTAAATTGTGTAAAAATATGAAAGTTTATCATGACCTTACAGTTTCATATATTTTCCAGGAAATTATTTGAGATTTGCATTATTTCGAAGGGATTTCTGAAAACTTGTAATGAGTTGTTAAATGGGTTATGTAAGAATTGACTGTTGCTCTTGAGTGGATACTCAACCATCCTCTTTTACTTGAAGATGTGTCATGTATGAAAGATGAAAATAAGAAGCATTTGAGATGGAGGTTGAAGGTGGGCCCACCGGTCAGGTATTGGAAGCCTATTAAGGCTATGTTTAGCGTATTAGCTGAAAAGCTAACTGTTAAATAAAAAGCTAGTTGATAGCTGAAAATCTAGCTAATAAAAAATAACGTTTGGTAAAACTAGCTGAAAAGGTAGCTGAAATATATAAATTTACATAAAAGGACATGTAAGAGTATGTGTTTCTATAATTAATTAAGAGATGTATTTAGAAATTTTTTAAAAAGCTCCTAAAAAGCTAGTCTAAGTGGCTTTTCAAAAAGCTAGTTTATAAGCTACTTAGCTTATCAGCTAGCTGTGGTGCGCCAAACACAGCCTAACTATTGAGTAATTAAAAAAAAAAGCAACACAAAAGAAGTACCCTACAAACAGTTAAATGAAGATAATACTTGTTGGTAGCTTTTTTTTTTTTTTTGAAATCGAATGTTATTTTTTCTATCACCTTTACGCACAAAATCCATACAAAACAAAAAATCATGCAAAATAATCCCACATTATCTCCCAAAAATCATCGTAATTTTTTAATAAAAAAAATCCACGTCAGACTTTCTCTTTACTCATCATCCTCATCCGACTGATCAGTTGTCTCTGCTGTAGAATCAACATGATCACCTCTCCACGACGCTGTCTCCGTGTGATCATCATCCTTCCACTCTGACGGTTCATCATCATCATTCAAAGTCCCTGCCGCCGCCATAAACTTTCGATCGTCCATATCGTCGTCATCATCCACCGTTGTTGCTGCCGCCGCAGCAACAAACGACAGACTAATAGCGTCATCCTCTTCACACTGCGAGTGTGCAGCTGCAACAAAGATAGCTCCGACACCAGACCCACCGTGAGAGTGTTCAATCAACACGTTATCTGATAACTCACTTCCGAGCATCTCCCATACACTGCTGTGTAAATAATTTCTGAAAACTCTGTAATGTTCGTAAAGTCCACCTTCAATTATTACAAGACTCTTTTTATCATTGATTCTTCCGCGCTTTTTCATTATTCCGACAATACACGCGCCGGCTAGACGCGCTCCTCTTTCTGCCACCACGTCACAGATTTCTGCCACCACTTCTCTTACGGCCGGACTTGTATAACCAATCTACAATTTATTAGCAAATTAAGTAAGCCCAAATTTATAAATAATAATAATAATAGGAAATGGAAAGAATTTTCTGATATGTATCACAAAAATAATTTCACAACAAATAAATATGAATACATCAACTCGCGATCGTATTTTGAGAAAAAAAAAATTTCTAAAAAAAAAAAAGGTTTTCTTTTGAGTTTTTTACTTTCATTAAATATGTTTTTACGTAATCGACTAAAATCATTTTTTAAAAATATAGGTACTAAGTATAATAAAATTGGTTAACAATATTTATTTCATTTTCGCACTCCTATAATAAATAAAATACTATTTCTTTAAAATTTAATAAAACTTATCTACGTAAATATGTGTAAAAAAATTTCTTTGAATAACTCAAATCCACGTTGTTTTGTTTGAAAAATTAAACATGTTATTTAAAAGTAAATAAATTTGTTATAAAATTTTGAAGTTATTATATTATCCAATTTTCAAAAAAAAAAAACATTATTTACCAACAAAATGAAACCCTTTCTATGGAAGAATATATAAAAAAAGAAAAAAAGAAAAAATATTATATTAGAAAAAAACAATTTTATAAATAGAAAATCTCCAATAAAGTCTTAATATTTTAAGTTATTCTACGGTTTAATCTCAACTTTTATTTTTTTAACAGAAAAACCTCAATTATTTTATATTTTGTCTAAACTAACGTAACAAACATTATTTTTTTCAACATAAAATAACTAAATATCGTATAAAATTATATAATCCGGACTTTTCTTTTAAAAAAATAAATATTAAGGTTGAACTATAAACTTATATTTAGAGTTTATCGTAGATTTGTTTTTATAAATTAATAAATAATTATTTCAAGAAAATAATTGATAATGTTATAATGGATATCATGATATATTTGAATCAACTTGGTTATTAAAAAAACTCTATAAATTAGTACTATAAAACAAGACATGATTTGAATTTGGTATTTAGTATTTACCCCAAAAACTTCCAAGAGCTTCTCGTGAACGGCGTCCCGATTTTCCGATGTATCTTGATGCATGGCAGCCATGTCCGGCGACCGCAAAGTATACGGCGTTTTGAGTTTAGCCGGAACACTTTCACCAAAAATTGCAGTTTCTCTCGCCATTTTAAGCAAAACTCTCCTCACCACTTCTCCTAGATAAATCCCTCCGATCAGTTTCTCAAACATCTGAAATCATAAATTAAACAAACAATCAAATTAACATTATTACGATATCGGAAAATCAACGTAAAGAAGAAGAAGAAGAAGAAGAAAAGTTTCGTACCCGACATCCAGGATTTGAGCTCTCAGAATCTAAAGCTGTGTCAAATTCTGTTATCGGAAGATGTGGAGTATTGAAATTGCCCCATTGCATATCGATTACCTGAAATCGATTTAGTGATTATAATTTTGTTGTAGATTATGTGAAAGAATTCAGAAATGAAGAAAAAAATGAAAAGAAACCATTTCGCCCAATTTTGATTCGCCGGCGTTAGGGCTGAGTTGAGCTGATTCGACGTAAACGGCGTTAGTAGCTAGCCCAAGAGTAACGGCGGCGACACTTTCCCGGTTGTAATACCGACCTCCGGCGAGATCCCCTAACGTAGCATCTACCTGTGATTATCCATTAATGGAAACAGATGAGATTATATAACATGAACAATGAAGATTAGTAGATTAGTAGATTACCAATGCAGAAACTCGTAAATCGATTCCATGTTTTCCCAACGCTTCATTGACTTCATGTGCTAATTCTTTTCCGACCTGGTATAATGTAAATGTTAAATTCGTAATGGAAGAAAGAAGATTTGATAAGATTGGTGTTGATTTGAGTAAAATTTGGACTCAACTGCGTCGTTAACAGAGAAGGATTTCCATCGTATAACGTTTTTGCTAGTTGCAGCTGCCGCAGGTCCTTCAAGTAATGGAAATGACACAGTGAACCCTAGTTTTCCTTTTGGAGCAATTGGATCTGTTTTTGTTTTTGTTGAAATGAACACAGCTAGCTTCAATGCTATGAAATCGAACAGTTCCTGTTACACACAGTATTCAGATCCATAATTCAAAATTTGTGGAATCAATTTCATCTATAGCATAATAAATGGTTGAAATCCGATGATAATGTACCTTTAAACTACCGGAAATGACTTCAGTGGGGATATCGACTTCTTCTCTTTGCAAATCAGTGATCGGTTCGTGTTTTCCTCTAAGCCGCGCACTCAACAATAAGAAATTATCTTCACGTAAATTCACCCCGTAATACAAACCTTCCTCATTACTACACCAAAAACGAAGAACAATGAAACACAAAATGATACAGAAACTATATAATATGTGAAGAGATTTCAATATACAATGCACAACTCAATCTAATAGTTTGTTTGATTCATGTGATTGAAACAGATACGATCGCGTTCTCAGAAATTACGATGTCGATTATTAAGTATCTGAATCGTAGGGTTAGAAGAGATTACCCGTTGGGAAGCGAGGAGGTGTAAGATGGAAGCATGACGAAATCCGTCTGAGATTGATCGGAGAGGCTCGTTTGCATATCGGAAACCAAATCGAACGCAACATGCCATAGCTTCGGCACCGGAGTGGCGCAGTCTCTAGCGAATCTACGTAGTATCCGTTGCGTCTGTCTCCACCGTCTCTCATCTCGTTTCTTCCAACGAGCCAACAGCACTCCGGCCACCACTACTGTCGCCACCGTCGCCACGGACGCTCCGACTATCACTTCTTTCCTCATCTCTACTTTTTTACGTTATCTTTGTTCAATTTGGCAACCGATTTGGTATAATTGTGCGAGGAATTTCATTAGTTTTGATCAAACATTTCAGGATCTTAGATCGATAACAGATGTGAAAAGAAATTAAGAATCAATAACAGGACAGAGGAGCGATTTTGTTGCAGTGAAGAACGAGTCTCATGGCCTTCAGTCTTCGGATTTATAGTCGGTTATATTTGACAACTGATTTTTGTTCATTCATTTGCTTAAGAGCTTCTTTGAAATTACCTTTTAACCCCTAAATACAATTTCCTTTTAGTGATATGTTAATTCACCAAGAATAATAGTCATAATTATTTGAATTGTAAAAAATGAGCAAATATAATTTTCATTAACAAATGTTATCGAAAATGTGTTGGGTTTAAATAGTAACACAAAATTGCTAATATAAAATAGAAAGCAAATTTTAGTTTTGTTTGAAACAAAGTTGTTATGATGGTGATCTTATTTAAGATCGTTTTTGTGTTTGGTAAGATTGTATCAGGTTTTGAAGATCTTTTCAAAATGAATTAGTCTTAACATTTAAGCACAAACTTTTGTTTGTGCATTATTCATTCAAAATGTGTTGATTAAGAAATCGATGATGGAATTAAGTTTAATTTTTTAAGCACTAAACATAATTCTTGGTGCTACAAAACGCAAAAACTATAAAGAAAACATCAAAAGCAGGAAATAGATAAAAGATTATTGTGATCATATACAACAAAAACATAACATGAAAGTCATGATGTTATGCATAACTCAAGGTGAATGAATGAAGTGATGATACTCAATGAGAATTTGTATGCCTCTTATGACATGCGATGCTCGATTTTAAGTTGTATGGATGATATCTAAGACTCCACTATATAATAAAGGACAAAAATCTCATCGGAGTTATTTCACAAAGACTTGCCATGGTAAGGAAGAAGGGGGGGGGGGACATGCACATTTGGAGAGCGCAGTACAACAGAGAGTTGTCTTTTGTTTGGTTCAATTAGCATGTTTTCTCTTTGTATTAATTTAGAGGTTTATATATCATTTTCCCAATGTTTTATGAAGTTTGATTT